GGGGGGGGAGGGATGGCTGTGCGGGTACGTACGTATGTAGGTCAAGGCACCGCACCTGCGATGCCCCCGGAAGCTTTGGGGAGGGATGGGTGTCTTGTCGGCTGCGGTGCCCCTGGAGGATCGTGTCTTGAAGCGTTGAGAGTGTCCGTCGAGCTTGACAGGCGTTCCTGACTGTGGGGTTCCCTCGTCCTTCCCTTTCTCGACCACACCTGCCAGGGCTTGCAAAGCCGCGTCTTTTTGACGTATGCATAATAAGTGAAACATACGACCGTAGATTGCTACGTAAGATACCAATCCCCCTGGGCCATTGCAAGGCTCGATTACTCCGCGACGAAGAGGATGTCGAAATCAACCGATACGCGTTTGGAAAGCTCTATCTCTCTCTCTCTCTTTCTCGGCGAGAGAGACGGTTTATGTCGGCGCTGACTGTTGTTTTTCGCACCGAGTAATCGAAGATTCGGCCCCAAGGGATATGATGCCTTACGCAACCAGTTCCGCTGTATTTTCTTTCACCCGTTCCTTGACCCAGCCGTGTGGACGGTTCACCGCTCCCCATCTTTCATCACCCCATCTCCTCCGCCCTCTCAGGGCAGCCTTCATCACTGAATCTCCCCCACTCCTTCTCTTACTCTCGGCCCTACCGATGCATACTATACCCCGCAGGGTAACCTTCCGAAGGGTCTGCGACGCGATGCAAGTCCAGTGGCACCCGCGGGTCTCCGAGGTCGAGAGCACGTTGGCGAGGAAGGTCTACGAGCGAGTCGCCAGGGAGCGGGAGCGGGAGCTCCGCACCGACCGCTGGCGGGGGTTTAAGATTGGCGCCGCCATGATAGGGGGGGGTACCCTGCTCGCGGTGACGGGCGGTCTGGCGGCCCCCGCGCTCGCGGCGGGGATAGCGGCGAGCTCGTCCGTCATCGGGGCCACCGCGGCGGCTACCCTCAGCGGCTTCGCCACGACGGCCTGGATGGCGACGCTGTTCGGGGCCGGTGGGGCGGGGCTGGTGGGGTACAAGATGGACAGGCGAACCAAGGGCGTCAAGGTGCCGACCGACTGACTCGTGTACAGCAGTTAGTGCCCGAACCTCTATTTTAGTTTTGGCCGAGCAGAATGTAGGTCTTTTTGCGGGGGGATTCTTGACGCAAGCAGTGCTCAAGTTTTTCGATCTTGATAATTTTTCAACGCTGTATCAATTTCTTGCTGTAGCTGCCGAGTGCTTTAGCGCCGGCGCTATTTTATTCGTGGTTCATAGCAGCTTGTTGCATTCGACTTGTGGCGGGGGAGAGCGGACTTTTCTGTTTGCTGGTGTTGTTGTCGCCCGCGGCGAGCGTGCAGCGATCGGGGTAGAGGTGCCGTGCTGAGCCTATTTGGTCTGCACTAGTAACACTTGGCTGTGTGAAGGTTGTTGCCATGTTACTCGCGTCAGCTGTGGCTTGTTGTGAGCTCGCCCTTCTTCGGCAGTCGGCCGGCTTGGAGGAGGTTGCGTACACGACGCTTGTGCGGAAAGTCTCACCGAGTCAGGAAACGAACCCAAGTGTTTCGATGTCCGGGAGAAGCGAGCTTCCACCAACCGCGGGGTCCTACACCAGCTTGCTTGCATCTCGGGGAAATTGCACGGGTCGTGACTTTTCTCGCCGCTCTCTCGAGTCACGCTCTTTCACCATCTATCTCCCCCAAGAAGGCAACATCCTTTACCAGGAAAGTCCTTTAGCAGGAAAAGTCCTGTTGTTATCGCCAAGGTGAAAAGTCTCCCCGCACGTGTGTGCTAGGTTTGCACGGTAACATCCATGTCTGTGTACGACGAACAATCTGTACATAAAAACCAACAGGAGTTTGAGTTCGAGTCCGAGACATCGGTGGGCGAGGAGATGTGCGTGTCGATCTGCGTCCCCGGCGTTCTCAAGGATAAGGCGGATCTGCAGAGGGGGTGGGGGGTGGAGCCACGAGGCTCGGACGTTTCCGCGAAGGAGCGACTGCGCCGCTTCTACTATGTCCACAACAGGGCCAAGGTGTGCCGAATGCTCTTCGAACGCTCTTCGACGCTGCTACAGAGCCACGCGCTTGATGTCAAATATTGATGGGTGTTTTTTTTTTTCTCGAGCTAGAAGCCTGCTGTATTTTTCAAGTAGACTTTCTCGAGCTAGAGTACTATTCGTACGTTGTAGTTTGCTGAATCGTTTTTCCTGGACTAATTAGTTTGGAGAGGGCGCTCGGATTGGTGATGGCCCGCCCCACCCGCTCCCTATTTGTCCTGGACTTCGGCTGCTGTTATTACCAGCAGACGGAGGAAAAAGGTTGAAAGCAAGTTGCTACGTATCATCGGGGTAAACCTGAGAATCAATACTAGTCGCACTGCTGAGAGAAACACTGGACGCCAGCTTAAGTGTCTTGTAGTCTCTTCTTGCACGTGCGTCTGCATCTTCTGTTATACGGCAGCGATACATAACCTGTATCCCTTCCCCTGGGTATTGAGGTGTATCAAGAACTTGTACACTATTTCGTCAATGACGGGAAACCAACACCTCTTGCACGACTTGTCTTCTTTTTTTGTTTCAAAGGTGCGTGATGTGGAAGACATCCTGGTAGCCTACGACGGCAAGGAGTCGAAGCTTTGCAAGGCGCTCCACGACAGGTGGGAAGAGAAGGCAATGACGAATCAGTGCCGCACGCCTTTCATTGCAAACAAAGACCTGCAGCAAGCGTCGCTACTCCTGCTGTTCGTTTATTTGGTTCCTGGTCACTGCCGAAGCTCTTTCCGTAGCTCAGGCTTCGGTTCAGTCCTCACACGATGAGCGGGAGAGACGGAGAGATGGCACCAACCTCCGCTAGACAGATTTTCAGAGCTCGATTGCTCCACAACCAAAAGCTTATACTAACACACAAAAAAATGTGGTTTTTGAATCATCTCGTCGAGGGACTTTCCGTAGACGCATGGGGCTCTTTTCGTACCCACTTGGTTGTAGAGCAGTCGATATTGGAAAATCGGTCTAGGGGGGGGTGGTGCAATCTCTCCGACTCTTACGGAATACCACGGTGCGATATACAGCACGGTACAATCTTGGTCGTGGATCAATCGATATTGGAATCGTTCTAGGGGGGGTGCCATCCCTCCAACTCTTGCGGAATACCACGGTACGGTATACGGTACGGTACAGACTATCTTGCAATCGAGCTTGGGAAATCGGTCTAGGGGGGGTGCCATCTCTCCGACTCTTACGGAATACCACGGTACGGGATACGGTACGGTACAGAAAATATTGGTCGTGGAGTAATCGAGCATTGAAATTATGGTCTAGGGGGAAGCCATCTCTCCGCCTTTTCGGTATTTTGGGTGGGTTTTAGCATAGGGGTGTCACCTCACGATTCCACGGTGCCGCCTCGCGGTCCTTTTTTAGTGGGTTGTTTCTCCATCGGTGTCAACAGCGCGTAAATTTCGCCCCCTTGGCCTATCAATGAAGGCTCTTGAGCGACGTCCGTGTGACCCCCATCGGGAGCAGTCTTTGGAGTTGACGTCCGTGCCGTGGCGGAGCATGGTCCTCCTCACGACGTGTGCGTGGCAGGAGTTCAGAATATCGCCACAATTAGCTGCTGTGTGGTTCCCCCAGCGCAAGTCATGCCTACGTGCAGAATAATGTTACTGCTGTTGTGACTGCTGTGTGCTCCCCCTCGCTTGATGAACGCCTCCATCGACTGCTGTTGTGACTGCTGTGTGCTCCCCCTCGCTTGATGAACGCCTCCATCGCTCGTGAAGGTACGGGGCTGACCCCAGGGATCCGCCGACGAGGGAGGCTCTGGCACGCGCGGAGGGTCGCAGAGTAGAAGGGGTCTCGCAGGAAGACCTGGCGAGGGATGCGGCGGCTATCGAGCAGCTCATGGAGGCCGTGTTGTTGAAGGAGAAGCAGGAGACGGAGAAGGCCAAGGTCGGTCGTAGGGTACCTACCTACCGCATGTTGCCTAAGATATCACACCACCAGGACCGACTTTTTGAGCTCGATTTTCTCTAGTGCAAAGAGGATGCCAAGATGAAATGACCTGTATTTAGGAAAGCTGTCGATGAGGTAGTACCAGCGTCGCGGTTTTCGGCACCGCCAGTGTTTTTGCTGGAGAGAAATCGATCGGTGCTTGCAAATTGTCCAGGGGGATGTGACATCCCTTACAAATTACGCTAGAATGGCTGTTTGGTGTATGCACACCCGGTCGTGATACCGACTGCGGGGCCTCTTCTTGGAGGGGGGTATGTGATACTGGGGATTTCGATACGTCGAAGCCCCTCGTTGCTCCGTGTTTCCGTGTGTCGTCCTCGCCCTCTCTCTCTCTCGTGGCGGTGACTTGTGGACAATACAACACAAATCAGTTCGAGTCACTTGGGTTCTTGGCTCGCTACCTCTAACGGAGCTCACATGACACCCCCTGGTATTTTGGACAGTAAACAGCCTCGCGGGCTTTGCCCAGAGACCGACTCGGGGCTTCTGCCGGTGCAGAGAATCAATCACTTAATCAATCCACCGCCGCCGCTGGACGGAGGCCGGTCCAGTGCTTGCCGCAGAGGAGGGGCGGGGTTCCCTGCCACTACCGCGGTAAAAATCAGCCGTTGCGTGCCTCTTTCGCCTCAACGTTTTTTTTTTTACGCTCGCCGGCTGCATCGCGGGCGTCAACAGCTATTATACCAGTATCTTAAAATACGCACTTCAAAATTTTGCTTTTGGTGACATGCCCTGATTGTTTTTGTTGGACGACGTTCTTGGCATTCGGGGACAAAGCAGGCCAGGGCTGTGGAAGAAGCCAAGCTCGCCAAGGAGGAGCCTGCCAGAGACGCCGGAACGACCCTTCCTTCTACGAACCCCGGGGACAACCGGAGACCATCCCCTACCCCAAGGAACGCCTTTGGGCGGAAACCCGCGGCGACGACCTCAGCCTCCCGTCACGGAGGGGATGATCGGATGCCATCCCCTGCCGCCACAAAGGCCTCCAGTACTGCAGCAGGAAGAGGTCCGAGCCCCGAAGCCCCCTCGCCATCGGACGGCAATCCTTTCACGGTCCCCGGAGTGGCGGGCACCGTGGCGCCCGCCGCCGCCGCAGTCGCGCCCACAGCAGCAGCCGCCGCAGGAGCACCGCCGCACCCCACCGCCGAGCCTCGGGATTCAGGGGGCAACAGCGGATTGGACACCGGAAGCGGTGACAGCGATGGTCTCTTGCGGGACTGGGACCGGGGTCCCGACGGGCAGGTTGAAGCGCTTCGGGGGGGCGTAGGGAGTATGTCGTTGGCGGCGGAGGTGGGGGCTGCTGCTGCTGCAAGCAAGGAGGTGGAGGAGGAGTCGGACGAGATCCAGATTTTTGTGGAGGCTGACGGCATCGGCGGCGGCGCCGAGGGGGCGNGGGGGGGGGGGGGGGGGGGGGGGGGGGGGGGGGGGGGGGGGGGGGGGGGGGGGGCAAGGGGGACCATGAGAAGGAGGACAAGGATTTGTTGAAGCACCGGGTTTGGTTCTGGCAGGTGCGGAACTGGCTGACTGGTAGTTGCCGAGCTTTTTGGCGGGAGAGCGTGCTGTGCTTTGCTGGTGTGTACGGGGACGGTCTGAGGTTGGGTCTTGTTTGCCGCTTCGGAGAGGTTGGCAGCAGCAACATGGTGTTAAGTTTTTTGGACCGAAACCGAGTGTCCGCCCTGCCTCGCGGGAGAAGTTTTGCTGTCGTGCTGTGAGCTTCTGTATTTTCCCTTTGAGGAAGCAAGTGAGGCAAGGCCGAGTGTGGTTGATATGTTGACAAATTCCATCCACGTCTTGTTCGCTATTTTGCTGCCTATTGTACAAGGGTAAAGTGTCTTGTTTGCTTACCTTTTGCCGTGCTTGCTTGTCTCTTACCGTGTGGCCAACTCAGGACAAGCTGCCGCACACCGATCAGTACGTGCTACGCTGGGAGAGCGACTGGCTCGTTACCCTGGGCAAGAGCGTAGAGGTAAGCAACGCACTGACTGGCTAGGCCTAGGCGCCAGCTACATGCCATAACAACCTTCGGCTAGGACAGCGAGATACCCGCTGACTAATGGTGCAGTCGAGGTACTTCTGCTACCCTTGTGCCCTGAAAGCGACCCGTTCGATGCGACGGTTTCAATCGCAATGTCTACGAGGATGATCGATCGTCGTTCGGTTGGCGTAGGTTTCTCCGCGTTGTTGTTCGTCGATTTCTCGTCCGGTCAATGCGTTGGGTCGGGCGTTTGTCCGGGGGCCGCGTTGCCGTATGCACTAGCAAGGAAAGAGGAGTTCATGTAGTAAGATCAACCGACTCCATTCCCTGAGGGGAAACCGACGACAAGACTTGACGAAAGAAAATTATTTCGGGTTCCCGAGGTTTTGTTTTCTTGTTTACTCTGTGGGATAAATGAGCCAACAGCCACGATAGTGGTTTTAGAATAGGAATCTTATTCTAGTACCTGTTGTCATGGTCACGTATTTATAGATAGTTCTTTTTGTAGCCTGAGTTTCGTAGCTCCCAAGTTATTAAGATAGATCCGTTCGTTTCGCGATTTTGACCAAAAGCGTTCTCTAATCTCTTGGGTCGGTTCTAACTCCAACCCCCGGGGCGATTGTGCACTCTATATCTATGGCGCAGACGATAATCAAGAGCTTAAGCCAAAGCGCCATGCAGGAGACGCTCAAGTACACCACGCTGGCGGCGATCATGACGTCACTAGCCTGGCCGTTGGCACTGGTGAGTGATCCTTGAACGTTACAATCGTCCCCGATATATATATTTTTGTTTTTTTGCTCTTTTGCCGTCGTGGCTGATCACGCACATTTTTTTACAGCTGCGGCTCTCCCCGCGTGCTTGATGTCTTGATGGAACGCCTGACGTGAATCCGGCACGGCCTGCTTTTTGCCGGACGTTTTTTCTTGCTCCTTCGCGCTGTATGACTATGGCGCTGCCGTCCCTGCACAAGTCGCTACCAACATTCGGCGACCGAAGCTTCCCTGTCAAGCACGTGTATCGCACATCGTGGCTACATGGATATATTTTGATGAACCCAAAGCTGCAACAACTACAATGATAACACAAAGATATGCATGAAATGTCCCCGGAAAACTTGTCTCAACAGATTTCACTCTCAAGCATGATCGACGCTGATTGGACCATCGGGAGGGAACGGGCGGACGTCGCGGGAAAGATTTTGGCCGACGCGCTGCTTAACAGGGAGCAGGTCAGATACACAGAGGAGGCACGCCAGACCGTACGAGGTGGTAATTAAATACTGTCTCGTGTGCGGGGCTCCCAGGACCACGACACATTGTATGGGCTCTAGTACATCACACTTGACATACACATGAAATATGGCTGTCTGAACGCCCAATGTAGTCCATCGTACGCCATGCCCCGAAGCCACTGTCGCGGTTTGAGAAGAAACTTGTGTTTTTTTCCCTTCGTTGTCCACGAGGGGAGTTTACTTGCTGTTCTGTCGAATCGAGTCACGTGCGCTATGAACTGCGCATGTTTTCCCTCTTGAAGCGCACTTACACTTGACTGACTGCTGTGGTGGAGATTGCCTTTTGACAGTGGTCACTCACTTCTCGGCCACGGCTTTCGAGAACAACCCCCCCCTGTTTTTCACCTCATTTTAACGAAGAGAAGAGGCGCGTTTGGAATCTCGCCGCATCTGTATCCCTTGCCGATGAACTGCGGGATAACTCATCCAAGCTATGGTTCCTCCTCGATGTACTGTAGAGTATTGCTGTACGTCGTCCTGTCCATCCATCTCTTGCGTTGTCAAACGACCTGAGCGTCCGATGATATCATTTGTATGTTGGAATGACTGCATTTCGATGGCCGACCGAACGGTGGAGCGAAACCTGATTTGCCGTCAATGGTCGTTCGAACGATGGAAATGTACGTCTGTAATGCCCCCAATCAACAGTATGAGACCCGTGACGCCAGAAAGGACAACAGCACGAGTAACGGACGACCACATTAGATTGACTTAGGTCGCAATGCTTGGCTAGGTTTGTCGTAGGTGTTTTCTGAGGCTGTCTGTCTGACGAGATGTCTTGCCCGTTTTTGGTTGTCCACGAACTCGTTTGGTCGCCGGCTCTTGTCAGGGGTGCCGGCCTGTCACCCTGGTGGGGACCTCTCTGGGAGCCCGGCTGATCTTCGCCTGTCTCGAGGAGATCGCAAGGCGACACGAGCTTTGGGAGGAGCAGGTGTGTTCTGCTTGGGGGCACCGTGCGTTCCCCCCTCCCCCCCTCCCCTCTCTTGACCTTCCACTTTTTCAGCCGGTCTGCAGAAACAGGATAGCAAGAAGAAATAGCCTCCCAAGGCTGCTCTACACCTGCAGGGGACAGAATCGGGGAAACATGGCCTAGATTCACACTCCCATGTTTTTATTCCATGCGTCGGGCGATGCCCGGCGCCATGTAACACGTGCACCAATTGCCTCGCGTCGACGACGTTTCTGGCCAGATGATGGAGGCCGGTGGGGGGCAAGACCGATGGGGCGGCGGCGGCGCCGGCTCGTCCGCCACCACAGCGGGGAGGGGCCCATCTCGAAGCAAGATGACCCGCCTAAAGAACGCCGTGACCCCGGACAACAGGGGCAAGAGCAAGGCCGGCCTCAACGGCGTCGGCGTGTCCGGCGGAAGCAGCAACAGCGGCGGCAGTAGCAAGAACGAGGCGAGGTGTGCCGCCGGCGTGATCGAAAACGTTTGCCTGCTCGGTGCGCCTGTGGGAGCCACCGCGGCCCGGTGGGAGCGCGTTGCGAGGATGGCCCACGGTAGGGTCATCAACGGGTACTCCAAGTCCGACGTGATCATTGGCCTTGTGTTCAGGGCCAAGAGCTTGTCGCTGTCCGTTTCCGGCATCCAAAAGGTGTGTGGGGCTTGCGTTCGTTAACGTTTGTTTGTGTCGCGTCGTTTTCCCGACGTGGTCGGTACATGTTGTGCAAGACTTTCCGTCGTTTGGTGTTCTCGCCCAAGTGACGAATGACCTGCCGTCCTCCTGTGTGACCCTAGTTGATACGCCAGAACGTAGTATATATTCGACACAAGATAACACACCCCCTGGGCCGATTTTTCAGAATTGGATTTCTCCACGACGAAGAGGATAGATAAACGAAACGATATGTTTTCGGAGAACTCTCGACCAGACGGCTTGAACGCCGCCGTTTTCTCGGCGGTTCAATCCTTTTTGTAAGAATCAAGCTTTGAAAATTATTCCAGGGTGTGTGTTAACTGGTTTTGTATACAGCATGCCGAAAGGTGTGTAAACTGTCGCCAGAACAGATGAGACGACTGCACACACAAGAGAAAGTACAAGAGGTCTAGAAAAGGTACACATGGTTGTCATGTGGTGGCGGTTTCCTTGCCCGCGGCGATATTAACGTCATGTGGCACACACAAGACCCACACGCAGAGAGATGCATTCTCCAATCGACAAGCTCAAGAGCATATCATCGGCACACGCCATGAGCATGCTTTGAGTTTCTCGTGAGTATACCGTGAGTATGTCATTCCATACCCTCAGTAATTTGTTAACGGGCGCTGTTGGCATTGATAGAGTGTACTTCGGTTAGCATGGGACATCGCGCTACCCTCTACAGCCCCTGCTCCTTCAATATTTGTCACGTTTTTGTTACGTTTCGCCTGGGTAATTCCAGGTGTCGGCGGTGGGCGTAGAGAACGTCGACCTCTCCTCGATCGTCGGATCCAACCACTTCAACTACAACCGCAAGATGCCAGAGATCCTTGAGCTGCTGGATCTCGACAACACCTCCACGTATATCGGCCGCGGCGACTCTCCCGAGGAAATCTCTCCAGCCGTTCCGACGGGGCAGCATTTTGGAAGCGATAACGTGGTGTACGGTACTACCGTAGTACCACCGTGAAGTAAAGCTTACACCAGGTGGAATGTGATACACACGGCGAATTCGTCTCATGCATGACGTGTAGCAGAGCTGCCTCTTGTACGACATGAGGAGGAGCCATCTCATGTATGGCACGTAGCAGAGCCGCGTCCTGTATGATATAGGCAGAGCGGTCTTATGTACATGAAGAGGAGCTGCCTCTTGTATAACACGGGGCAAAGCCGTCTTTCTTATGTATGACATATGACATGTAGCAGAAGCCGCCTCTTGTGTGAAATGAAAGATGACCGTGATATGTGGCAAAAGCCGTATTTCTCATGTACGACATGTAGCAGAAGCCGCCTCTTGTATAACATGAGAAATGACCGTAACATGTGGCAAAGCCGTCTGATCTTCCGCATGATACGAGCCGAAGCCGTCTCATGCAGGACGTGCGGTAAAGCAGGGACAGCTGGGGACATGGTGTCGCTCGAGTGTACCCAAGCCAGGATTCCTTTTTTTCTTGAAGTGCCTGGGCGTTCATCTCTTCTTGAAATAGGTGCAATGTAGGCGTTAAGGTAGACCTTGGTTGGCTGGTTGGATATTCTTCGCTCCTGTTGTGGGGGAAGGTCCGTGGGAGGATCATACGCCCAATCTCCAGATCGTTCTCCAACTGTTGCCCAATTGCAAGTTGGGGTTTCTGCAGCGACTGAAAGTCCGACTGTATCATTGTTTTGTGACAGAAATCCAGTCTCAGAAGACCATGATATTTGTTACAGAAATCTCGGCCCAGTAACTGAGAGGTTAAAATCAAGTCATTTGAGAGCGGTCGACAAGGAATTAATTACCCACGGCGCTTCTCTGGATCTGGGTCTGTCTCTGTCTCTCCTCTCTCGGCATACGTATCAATTGCTTTTCATGCCAACCAGACCATCGGGTCTCGCACAAGTAACATCGTCCTCTAGAGGATGGCACCTGAAAACCAATTACAGCAGCATTAGTCTACCGTTTCACACGGACAGACCACGCCTACTTTTGTCCACAGCCAACACCATCACATGGCTCAGTCATCACACTTTTTGGGCATTTTGTGGTTGTTGTGATGTGGCGACATCTGGGTCTTTCCACTTGCTATCGGTAAGCTTAGCCCTCCAAGGTACTACTGTAGTCAAGACCGACAGACGATAAGTGTCCAAAACCAACAACGAACACTCTAGACTACAGCAGCCAGGAGGGGCACAACTGTGCAGTCTCCTACATGACAAGTTGGCGTCACTGCCGTCTTGACCTTCAAGCCGCGATGAGCCCACACGGGATGAGTAACAACGCAGGTGAAAAGCTAAGAAGCCATTTCGGACAACAAACATGGCTTGAACGCCGCGCGACATCATCACTTCTTCTTATCCCCAATAGCCCAGGAGTATCCTCTTGGAGCGTTACGTCACACCTAGATACAGCAGTATCAGCGAATGGAAACTGCTGTCGCCGCTACCGATGTCCTCTACAGCAGTAGCGGCTACGGTTTAAAGGGTTGGTACAAGCCAATTTTGCTCTCTTAAATCGGTATTTCTGTTAAACCGTTTAGGCTACGCTTTAAGAGAGTATTCCTTTAACCAATATCTCACTTTCAGATAATATTACCTAGGCTGACTCTGTTCGTGTGTTTGGATACGGACTGGTCAGATCTACCGGCAACAATAGAGGGCACGCAGATGGGGCATATGTACACCTTGAAATGGTTGCATGTGCGGGGACCCCTCGAACTCCAAAGAGGGCTTCACTGCTCCTTACTCCCCGTGCGTGTCTAATACAAGAGATAAAACGTCTTCCCCTTCCAAGTAAAGGACATATACGAACACACTTGTGTCAATCCCTCGAGGGAGAGTCCATTAGGAATGTCAGGTCGCAAAGATGGGGGTGACTCCTCCAGAGACTGCGGCGGAAGACAGAAAGAGGTCAAGAGAAGAGCTCGTGGCCCTGAGGACGCAAGTTAGCTCGCTGACGGATCAGATGAGCCAGCTAATGTCGCTAGTGGAAGATACCATGAAGGCAAGCAAGAAGGAGGAGCCAGCTGGCACCATGGAGGGTGCCGCTGATCGCGGCGATGCTAGGGAGAGCGCCGCCGCGGAGTCCACGAACGCCGAAGTAGGGGCACCGTGGACCGGGAGTGCGCAGGACGGGAGGTACCTGCGCGAACCTGTTCGAGAGTTTGGCCCGTCAGGGCGACATGGCGGCGAAGCAGGGGGCTTTGTCCCCCAAGAAGTGAGAGTACCCGCTGCTCACAACCAAGGTTAGAGTACCCGCTGCTCACAACCAAGGTTAGAGTACCCGCTGCTCACAACCAAGGTTATAGTGGTGCCATGGGAGATGGTGGTGCTGCTGTTGGCTTTGGATACGGAGCCACANTTGGCCCGTCAGGGCGACATGGCGGCGAAGCAGGGGGCTTTGTCCCCCAAGAAGTGAGAGTACCCGCTGCTCACAACCAAGGTTAGAGTACCCGCTGCTCACAACCAAGGTTAGAGTACCCGCTGCTCACAACCAAGGTTATAGTGGTGCCATGGGAGATGGTGGTGCTGCTGTTGGCTTTGGATACGGAGCCACAACCCCAGCGACGGGGTACCAAAGTGTGCGGTACACTTCTCCGTTCAGCGGGAAATCGAAAGATTTCAACGAATGGCTAAATGATTTCCGCATGGCAGCCAATGGCGCAAACTTGTTGGAACAATTTGAAGAGAGCGGGAGCTTGGAGATCCCCGTCAAGAGCGGAAAGAGCAAGTTTTCCCTGTCACAGCGGTACCGGAGCGAGCAAGTAGAGCTCGCATTCCACGCGTGGAACTTCCTGTCTCACGCGTTGAAAGACAAATATCGGAAAATCATGAAGAGGGCAGAGACGCCCCAGGGAGCTCTGCGTGAGCTCAAGACCATACACGACCCTGAATCATCTGTACAGCCGTCAGAGGACCTCAAGTCCCTGACGTCGACCAAGATCTCTAGAGGTGAAAACCCCCAAAACGCCCTAAATGAGATGCTTCAAACCGCAAAGTCCTTAACCGAGAAAGGACTAACTGTCAACGAAACGTTCGTTCTTCACCTCTTCCTGGATGCCCTTTCGGACGAGTATGCCATGACAATGCACAACCTGCGACACGCGAAGGAGTTGCCGCGGACCGGTGTGCTAAAGGAAGTAATGATCGAATACGAGGCGATCAAGGACAAGCTGGAGCAGGGGAAAGGAAAAGGGGCGAAGGGCGCAGAGCAAGCGTACTTCGCCGACGGTGAGGACCGCAGGGAGCGGTACTCCAGTAGGAGTCAGGGGCAAGGTCGTGGTCGTGGCGGCGGCCGTGGCCACAGCAGCAGTCGTGGCCGCGGCAGAGGCGGTCGCGACGGCGGCGGCGGCAGTCGCGGCGGCCGCTCAGGCGGATCCGGAGGAGTCGAGGAGAGCAAGGGAAGCAGCAGTGGAGGCGCCGATGGCGGCGGTGGCGGGGACAGGTCTAGTGGGGGTTGTGGAACAAGGCCAGGCGGTGTACGTGGCCGACATAGCGGCCACGTGCTCCCATGTTCCGATGTGTAGACAACTTCGTGAACTACCGTGAGCGTAGCGGTTGGGTGAAGGGGATCGGAGGCGACACGGTCCCCGTTCCTGTTCTAGGATACGGAGATGTGACCTTAGTCCTACAGACGGAAGATGGTGGAGTACCCGTACCAGTACTGAATGCTGCCCATGTACCAGAGGCCCCCTACAACCTCCTCTCGCTGTCTTCGTTGGCGGAGGAGGGCCACACGTATTCGGGGATGAAGGGGGGCCTCACGCTGACTACGAAAGCCGGGGGGGAGGTGTGGTTCCCCCGGGCTGGAAAGCTGCTGACCCAACGAGGCTATCAATTAAAGCCAACGCTAAACACCGCCTGTGCCGCACTCATTGTTCCTGGCGATGCGAAAGCAGCCAANCCTCTCGCTGTCTTCGTTGGCGGAGGAGGGCCACACGTATTCGGAGATTAAGGGGGGCGTCACGCTGACCACGAAAGCCGGGGGGCAGGTGTGTTCCCCCGGACTGGAAAGTTGCTGACCCAACGAGGCTATCAAATAAAGCCAACGCTACACACCGCTTGTGCCGCACTCATTGTCCCTGGCGATGCGAAAGCAGCCACCCCCACTGACCTCAACGAGTACAACCTCGCGCACGGCCATGCCCACGAGACATTGCTCAGGATCACGGCGGAGCAGCAGGGAGTGCAGCTGACGGATGGACCGCTGCTACCCTGTCTTGGCTGTTCGATGTCCAAGGGACAGGTGAAACCCGTCCAGAAGAGCACGAGCACACGCGCAGTTACGAAGATATTTCGCGTGTATCTCGACTTGGGGGGAAAGGTGAAAATCAGGAGCATTGGTGGCAACTGGTACACACTGATCATCAGAGATGATTTCTCCCGTTGGACGCGTGTTTGCTTCTTGAAACACAAGTCTGACGCAACGGTTGGGTTTGAGAAGTTCCTGGCGGACTACCGAACGAAATGGGTTCCGTGTGAGGTTTATATCGCACGTACCGACGGTGGCGGCGAGTTCCAGGGGCAGTTTGCGGAAGTTTGCCGCAGGCACGGCATTAAACAAGAGTTCACCCCCCCTCACACCCCAAACTACAACGGTGTAGCGGAGAGAGCGCCAGGGTTGATCACTGATGCCGCGCTTGCGTCACGCATCCAAGCGATGCAACTGTTCCCCGACGCACCGAACTACCCCAGGTTGTGGGCCGAGGCCATTTCGTGTGCATGCCATCAGCTGAACTGCACCGCCACTAAATCAAACGAGGGAGACAAACCCGCCTACGAGATGTTCCACGACCCTCCACCGCCTGTCGGGTCTACATACCCGTTTCTCAAACCAGCCGTGTTCAAGTCGAGAAGAAAGCAAAGTCGCAACCCAAGGGCGAAAAGGGATGGTACCTTGGTCCTGCCCACAATCACCCCCGTGACTGCGTTCGCATGCTAACCGAAGCTGGAACCGTAATCACCACCCGCAATTTCACCTGGCGCCACGAGCCCGCTGCATCGCCCGCTCCCCCGCAGCTGCTACCTCTCGCAGANTGCGTTCGCATGCTAACCGAAGTTGGAACCGTAATAGCCACCCGCAATTTCACCTGGCGCCACGTGCCCGCTGCATCGCCCGCTCCCCCGCAGCTGCTACCTCTCGCAGATGACGAGGAGGGCGGGGAGGGCGAGAGCAGAGCGGATGCATCACGCCAAGGTTGGTGGGGGGAGAGAGACTCAGAGAGTGAGTCCGACCTCGACGTGATGGAGGCTCGTGGGCCAGGGCAAGCGACGCCGTTTGTGCGCGAGGAGGCGCCGACGGCACCGGGCAACGGGATTCCGGGGGACGGAGGCAGCGTTCCCCCGTCGCCCCCTTCGGGAAGGGGCGACTTCGGAGGAGGCAGTGACAGCCCCACCGACAGCAGCAGCAGCAGTGACGCCGGCGGTGCCGGCGGCCCGGGTGGCGAAGAATCCGGCGACCCAGGTGGGAACGGCGGTAGCGATGGTGATCCCGCCGACTCCGAGAACCTCGAGGAGTTGAAGTCCAAGATCCAGCCGACGACCGCTACCCCCGCGGGCTAGAAGGGAAG